GACATACTAGAGTCCTTCTATGTATTTCAGTCATCCTACCTCAGTTCCTTGTTTTATCTCCCCTAGGATTGTTTTTTAAATCTTTATTTACTGTCATGTCAGGGGTGTGTATACCAAACTGCAATATCAGCTCTGCTCCTCTCCCTGTCTGAGCTGCTCACTGGGATCATAAACTCCAAATCATTATATAAAGTTTAAAGATAGGAAGATACCTTATTGGAAAACTGGAAAAGGCAAAAGATAGCTACACTGATTAACCAAGGTAGTAGGCTCTGTAAAGATAGAGGACCTGTGGGCCCTTTGTTCATGGCTGCTTTTATTGGTTGGGTTCTAGGGCCCTTTCCCCTAACTAGAACTTGCCATAACCCAATTGGCTGTTCCATACCCTAAGACACCAACCCCCACACCATCATCTGCATGCACATTCTGAAGTGTCTTTATTTGATTTTCTCTTGCCCTTTCAGGCCTTATCTCTGGAATATATAGGTTGCTTAGAAGATACCTTACATCCAAGGTTGATTTAGAAATTAGGTAAGGGAATGGTGGCCCCAGAGTGGAAATACATATAGATTGATAGATCTGTAGGCATGTGTGTTTTTATATACTAAATAAGGGCTTTCTTTTAAGTGGCTGCCCCTTGTTTCCTTTTAATCTTATTGGAAGTAAGTGAGGGTCAACTATCTTGGTTTCAAGCACCTTGGCTTTCTCTGTGATCTTCCTGTTTGCCTGCCCTCTAGTTTTGTTAATTGCTTCCTTCGGTGAATCTGTGACTCTTTCTAGTCAGGATTAGCAAGAAAGCCCAGTGAGGCCTTTCCCTCTTTATAGTCCCTTCCCCCTACATTTCCTTCCTCTGAGATGTCCACCCAACTGCTGCTGGGGGAAATGACTGATACAGCTGATGACTGATCAAGCTTCTTTGACTGATCTGGCTTCTTTGAGTTTAGTAGGGTCATTGTTAGGGGACAACAGATGGAAGTCTTCAGCAGGGAGGATTGCCCCATGGGGCTCAGCAGAAGGAGTTTGCCACATTTACTGTGGGTTTCTTTCTGTGGGATCACTTGGAATTTGGCAGCCTCTAGACGAGAATAAAAAAAGTTTACCAAGAAATTAAAAGACCAGATCATGAGCATTAGGATGAAAAGGCAGATTAGGAAAGGAGCCATGTCTAGACATTGCTGTGAAGGTATCGGACTAGCAATTATAACCAGCTGCCTCTTAGACCTGTCTACAGGTATAGCTGGAAACTGCCAACAGGAGTCAGTGACTGGAGCCCCTTTCTATGTTGAGCCTATATTGTTACCACTTTTGTATATCTTTGGTTATACTCCTCTGTTGGGCATTGAAGACCAGTCAGAGAACCAAAATATATCTGTAAACAGGGAAAGGCCTCATTGGGCTTTTTGGCTAATCCTAACTAGAAAGAGTTAAAACTTGGAAAAATCAATTACCAAGACAAGAAAGGAGGCCAAGTGGTTGAAACCAAGGTAGCTGCCCCTCACCCATCTCCAATAAGATACAAAGGAGACAAGGTCTGGTCGCTTAAAGCTCTTGTTATATGCATAAACACACATACAAAATCAAACAAAACCGTGGGTAGACTGTGAAAGGTAAGACCATAGTATAAAACTGCAACTCATATACAAAATAAATTACTTAGAGTAAGTGCATTCATAGCCCATGAGCTGCCAGGAGTATAGCATGGCATGATGCAAGGAAGCTACTTCTGTCCAATACTTAGAGCAGAGAAGGAAATAGTTTATAATGAGAAGAGTATCTCACCTATGGCTCTTGTAGGCTACCAGGAATAAGTCATACCGGACATCTGATGCAAGAATCCTGTAGCCCAGAACTCTTAAGGATGCCTCTCAGAAGCAAATCATGTAATTCTAAAACATCTCCATAATCAAGGATTCAGAAGACTCAAGGAAAACAAAACCTTCCAAGTCAAAACCACAATCTCTCCATGAACAAGAGTCATCAGGCAGAACAGATGCATACAGAACATAGACAACAGAAACAGGAAGGCTTAAAAGCATAAACCCAAGGAAAGGTATGGCACTCTTGAGTAAGATGACAGACATGTAAACTAACCAGACATAACTTCCAGAAATAAAACTCAGAGTCAATAAAACTTGAAATATAATGCCCAGATTAAAAGCTCAGTCAGAGTGAAAAGATGAAAGAGAAGTGAAACTACAAAGAGAAGTAAAAATACAAAAAAAACACATAATGGACAGGGAGGATACAAAGAAAATGTTAAAAATACATGGGGGGAAAAATCAAAAGACAGTAAATAGTTATCAGCTAAAAAGTTCTCAGAATTCACAAAGATAGGAATCTGATTATAAATCCCAACCAGGATAAATAAGAATAAATTACGTACAGTCAAGCTATAGAATTCTACAGATAACCTTCTGAAAGTCATCAAAAAAATTCAAAAGATAGACACCAATTAAACTGATACCAGCCTCACCACAACACTCTTTCTTTAAGAGGACAGAACAAGAAGGAAGGGTTTTCCAGGGGCTATAGTAGTTTATTTTGTATGTGAGTTACAGTTTTATACAATGGTCTTGACTCTCACGGTAGCAATCTTAAGTTCAGGCTTGTCTACCTATGGTTTTGTTTTTCTAATTTTTTTGTGGGAGGGGCATAATTAGGATTTAGGACACTTAAAGAAGTCCTGAGAAATGGGAAAGTAAGTAATGTAACAGATTCCAAATTGCACTGGTTAAGGCAGTAGGTTACGCTGGATTTTAAGGAAGCCCTTAGAGGCCTAAGAAAGAAGACAGAAAATGTCTAGAGAGCACCTTTTATGGCCTTTGCACTTTTATAATGACAATTAACTTAAGAGATAGGTTCCCTTGACTTCATAGATGAAGGATGTGATCAGAGGCCAGGTGATAATCTGTAAGCATCCAGAGTTATCAATAAACATAATGGAGATGTTGTCTGTCTCACAATTCTATAAATCATTTTCTCTTTACTGAGTCATCTTGCCTTTTGTATGTCAGCCTGCTTATGTGAATTTACTTATAGTTGTCTTTCCTTTCTTTCCCTTTCCAATTTCATTGCACTATGGTCTGATAACACACATGGGATAATTTCCATTCCTTTGCACTTACTTAAACATGTTCTATGAGCTAGTATGTGGTCTGTTTTGGAGAATGACCTCTATGCAGTTGAGAGGAATGTATATTCTGATGTTGTGAAGTGAAACACTGTAGACATCTACTGAGTCCATTTCTTCAAAAATTTGGTTCAGTTCTAATATTTCATTGTTTATTTTTTGTTTAGTTGATCTGTGTGTGATATTGAGGCCCCCCACTATAACTGTTAGTTAGTGCTTATTTGATTTTTCATGTCCATTAACATTTTGTATATTATTTTATACAGTTGGGTATACAGCTACTTTGTGCATATATATATTTATGATTGTTATCTCTTCCTGTGGGATTGTTCCCTTTTCAAGGATGTACTGACCTTTTTTTGTCTCTTTATCAGTCTTGGCTTGAAATCCACTCTGTCTGCAAATAGAATACCTACCTCTGCTTTTTTTCCAGGTTCCTGTTTCATGGAGTATTGTTTTCTCTCTGTTAACTTTCAGTCTGTGAATTTCTTTTTGAATTAAATATGTTTCTTGTATGCATTATATTGTTGGATCTTGCTTCTTGATCCATTCTGCCAGTCTGTTTCTTTTGATGGGTGAATTGAGACCAATAACATTGATAGTTATGACTGATAATGTATTGACCTATCCCTATCATGTTATTTTCCTGTTGTTGGCTCCCTTCTTTCCTCTTCTTTTAATTTCTTACCTTGCCTGGTGGGTTCATTCTGTTGAGTTCATGGAGTTGTAATCCTTGTTATCTTTCCAGAATATCCTTTCAAACACTTTGGAATACCAATTTGGTGATCATAAGTTTTTTCTGGTGTTCTTTATCATGAAAATATCTTATTTCTCCATCAGTTTTGTAAGATAGTTTTGCAATGTACATCATTCTGGGTTGAAAGTTGTTTTCCTTTAGGGTTTGAAATATTTCACTCTAAGTCTTCCTTCACTTGAGGGTTTGTATTGAGCAGTCTGCTGATTCTGATGGGTTTTCTTTCATAGGTGATTTCTTTCTTTTCTCTGACAGCTTTTAATATTCTGTTCTTTTATTGAATTTCTGGAGTCTTGTCTATTATATGCCTTTGAAAAGATTTCTTTTATTATGGCTAATTGGATTTCTATATGCGTCACTTATATCTGTATGTCAAATTCTTTTTCCCTGTATGCCATTATTTCTGTGAACAGGTTTTTTATGTCATTTATGCTACGTACTGCTTTTTCATTCACTATAATCAATCTTATGTTATTCTTTTAGCCACTTCTCTTTAAGGACTTTTTAAAATCAGAGGAAAGGTTTGCCATTTGTTTATTTTGAAATTCTAGCTCATTTTTCTTTTTTCTTTTATTGAAGGTTGGATTTCTTTTTCTTTTCTTTTCTTTTTAGTACCAAGGCCTTGTGCTTGCAAGGCAGGCAGCTGACCCACTGAGCTAAATCTCTGGCCCTCATTTTTCCTTTTTTAAGAAATGCTTATTTTTTTTTTTAATTTAAGCATTACTCTTTATTCAGTGGTAACCAATTTAGAACTAATGGAAAGACATTGGTTTTTAATATATCATTCTTTAATTTTATTTGGAAGAGGGGACACTAAGTGGTACTGGTGTTGAACCCAGGGCTTTCCCAATGAACTATGTCCATAGCCCTTTTTTTTTAATTTTGAGATTGATCTTGCTGAGTTGCCTAGGTTGAACTTGAACTGGTAATCCTCCTGTCTTAGCTTCCCAGAATATGGTGAGATTACAAGCATGTACCACAACATCTGACTTCTTATTTGAGAGAGACAGAGAGAGAGAGAGAGAGAGAGAGAGGAATTGGAATGGAAATAAAGTAGGAGGATAGCACATGAAACGAATGTGTATTGAAGCATACTGCTCTTTGTCTCTTCCCCAGCCCTCCAAGCCACAAGATTGTGGTGAATGGGAAAGAATGTATAAACTTTGCCTCCTTTAATTTCCTTGGATTACTGGATAATCCTCGGGTGAAGGTAAGTAGGACATAGTGCTGAAGTGAGTAAATAACATTACTCACTTCAGAAACAAGACATAAAGTAAAAGACAAATGTGGACTATCAGAGAGAGCTCTGTTAAATGTTTCCCATTACTCTTTGACAGAGCTGTAACCTGGACTTCGCAAACATTTTTTGGGAAAGACATATGTCCACAGATGCAGAAACTATAAAGATGCTGAGATAAACAGGTGTTGAAAAATCAAGCTAATGTGATTTTTCTATGTTTTAAATTGTGTACCTGAATCTTTACATTTGTGTTTTTTTTGTATCCTATTGGAACTGTCACAGTTGTAAGAAAGAATGGAAAGCATGGAAGGGAGAAACAAAAGAGAACAAGGAAGTATAGGTTAAAGAATAACGATTCTTTTTGCTTTTACAAGTAAATTAATAAAATATGATTTTTTTGCTTCAATAAAGGCAGCAGCTTTAGCATCTCTAAAGAAGTATGGTGTGGGGACCTGTGGACCTAGAGGCTTTTATGGCACATTTGGTAAGTTGTACTCTTTTCAGACTACTACTTTCAGGAGGTAAGATTTAATTTAATTTTAAAACTTCTTGAAAAACATATCCTTAATCAGTGATGTGTGCCATTTCTTACCTTTTATTTTAGGGTCTGGAAGCTGTGATGGGAAATGCATTGGTCTGGGTTTGTAGGATGGAGAGCTATAGGTACCTCCAGATATGCTCTATAGACTGCTCTTCAGTGTGCCCCCAAGACTGAAAACTGCCATATGTGCAAGCAGTATGGTTAACCATCCAGCTATGGGTGGCCATGCTCTTCAAGTTGTGTAATAACACAGATCTTCCTTATCTCATTGCTCAAGTGTCTGAGAGCACCATCTTTGTTTGCGTGGTGAACACCAGGTCAGAATGTGGAGGGATGGAAGTGCAGGGGAACAGCATCTTTTATGCAGGAGTGGTCTTGCCCATTATTTCTACCCTCTATCCCGTTAAGGTCAGGCCATGCCTAGCCACAGAGTGGGCTGAAAAAGAATCATAACTTCAGGACTAGCTATGTGCTGGGGAGAAGGGCTAAAGCAGTTTTGCTATGGAGAAGAGAGAAGTTATGTAACTCTTTTCTTTCTGAATGTAGATGAATGGTTACTGATTTACTTGTGTGTGGCTGGCCCTAGGACAGGCTAAATATTTGGATAAATAGTGATAACAAGCAGCATGAACTCCTTGACGCAGAGAAGACTGGTGGTTGTTTTTATTAAGCATAAATTGTTTCTGAAATATCATTAAATAATTGTTCAAATGTCTATATTGCTAGAAATAATGTTCTGGCTTGTAAAATTGCCAAGTAGGAGGAAAGCAGAACAAGGGAGCTATCTTCCAGCTCTTATTTTCATTTTTATTTCTAGATCTTTCTGTTTTTAACATTTAACATGTTTTTATGTCAGGGATCTTTGTTCCTTAGTTTGGTGGTTACACTATTTCATATTAGAAACACATGAGGAAGGTTAGTGCCGAAGAATCTTAAAGCTGAAAGCAGTGTCAGAAATCTTTCCATGTTCCATTATCTCAACTACTCAGAATAGGAAGGGAAAGTCCAGAGAAGTTAGTGTCTTCCTCATTAGACTCAGCATTCTGGCTTCAGTCTTGATGGAAAGATCAATGGACTGAACTTAGAATAGAGCCTCCCGCTTTCCTCTGTTCTAAAGTAAACATTGTAATTTGCTTGGTTTTTATTGGAAGAGAATGACTTCCTTGATAAAGTATTAGAAAAGGCAATTTTTATGAGATTTCTGTTAGTCATCTGATTAACAAGGCTTTCTTTCTATTACTGTTTACTAGAATGAAAAACTGGCTTTCTTGAAAGCCTCCCTTTGCAGTGATTTTATTTGCAGGTGTGACCTTGACCCTGACATAGAAATTTAGCTGGGAAGATAGATGGGTGACATAATGCCAAATCAAATTGTGGGAAGAGTGTGTTTCAAATCTTTAAGACCAGTTTTCTTTAAGTATGAAATATATGATGTTATATAACTCAGTCAACTTTCCATTTGGGAAACCTGTACAATAGTGAGCTAAATGCTTTCAAATACGGGTATGTGATTTAAAACAGAAAAATCACATTAGCTTGATTCTCAACACCTGTTTGACTCAATATCTTTATAGCTTCTGCATCTGTGGGCATATGTCTTTCCCAAAAAAATGTTTGCCAAGTCTAGGTCACAACTCTGTCAAGGAGTAAGATTAATGGCTATTAAATCAATTTAATTGATGGAGTAATTCAGAACAGGATATAAACAAAAAACAGAAGGTGAAAATAGATGTGAGAAGTCTTTTAAACCCTCAACCTATCCTCTCTACCTTACCTGCCACTTCCCACCAAAAAAACCAAAAAAAACCAAAAAAAACAAAGAACAAGCTACTATCAGTAGTTCCTTGTTAATTCTTGCAGGTACTTCCTTTCAACATATGTTAAGCACTTCCCCTATTTTTACAAAACTGGTATATGAGCACATTTTTTGTTTCTCTTGTTTTCTCTCTCTCTTCTCCCCCCTCTTCAGTTTGAAGTTTTTTTTTTTTTTTTTTTGTGTTGTGGGGATCAAACCCAGAGTCTTGCATATTCTAGGCAAATGTATTGTCACTGATTTACACCCCAGTCCAAAAATGAATGTTTTAAATTTAAATTAGATATGATCTTTCAAATCTGAATGAGCCACCAGGAGTAGTGAATAACCAGTTGTATACTTTGTTGGTCACTGGTTTGTCTCTATTCTAAAATTGTCATTGAAAATTCAAGCTGACTTTGACATATGGAGCAAGGTTATAAGTTAATTTGGGACAGTTTTGTAAGGAGATATTGCGCCTAGAAGTAATGTGTGTTGTTTTCTGAGTGTGTTGTCCTGCAGGTAAACTTGCTTCATTTCTTCTGAAGTTATTCAAGCCCTTACTCATTTGCACATTTTTGTTTACCAAGAGGATTTTTTAAAATTCTAAAATAGTCATTTGAATAATTATAGTTAATATTAACTTACTGTGAAATTTTAGCATTTGATTAAATCAGAGAAATTTATTGGGTTCATCCCAGTCTACATTTTAAGTCTCTAAAACACCCTCCACAATTAAATTATCAGTAAAGCACATTTACCTGAGCTACAGTGTGATGGTCCTGGAGTTAATCCCCAGTACCACAAAAAAAAAGAAAGAAAAAAAGAAGAGAAAATAAAAAGAAAGAGAAAGGACAGTATTTCATTCTCTTAAGCCAAGAAATTTGCTTTTAATTTTATCTTGTTTTCCTTGAAGTATCACATTCAGGCTCTTTTTTCAAAGCCTACTCCTTCTTAACTCTTTTCTCACCTTTTCAGTTAATGAACATTAATTATTTATGACTAAAGTAAATTTCTTTATTGAAGCATTTTCTCTTGTTGCTATTTTGTAGTGACAAGTTACATGGTCAACAACTAAGTTAAAATTCTCTAGTTTTTTAGGCTATATATTGTTTTCCTCCTAGAAGCCTAGAATTAAATACTGTATTATGTTACATGTATGGAAATATCCCACCAAGTTCCATTAATATTGCAATCAGTATGTGTTAATAATTAAAAATGAATAAAGAAGTAGACTCTTACTTAAAAAACAAAGACGAGAGGGCACTGGGACTACCTATAGTTTCGCCAAGTTGTAGTGCCTTCTACAGACTGGTCTAGTCCTTGTGCATTTTGATGGTAAATTTGTTTTTATTTCATTATTTGTTATATTTTTCAAGGGTCTTGTTTTGCATATCAGTACCATTATGGCTCTTTGGTCATATACTAATCTTTGGCCTTACACTAAATCAAAAGACAACTGTATGGCAGGGTTTCCTGGTGAAAGGCGATACATTTAGTTCCTTTCTGGAACCAGTAATAAACAGTTGTTCATTTAAAACATCTGCTTTTATTTTAGAGCAGTCAGCTGAGTCATAATTGCATATTTTAGTGGGAAGAACATTTAGTTATAAAATTTGCTTCTTTCCTGCTACAGGATCATAGTTTTCTCAGTTGTAGGGTAGGAACAGTCTGTGCTTGCACAGTTATACTACTTTAGTGCAAATCATATAAGATCCTGCAAGTGAAATATTTTGAAAACCACATTTCATTTGTGTTATAAATACATAAGTGCTATTATTTTTACTTCTAGGAAAAATTGTCCATGTGTCTAAGGTCCTTTTTATGAGAATAGTTTGTACACAAAAATAAGAAAATTTGAAGAGAAAATGTAGTAGGTTGATTGTTTCTGAACTATTCTAAAGTTAATTATTTTAATCAACTCTGGGGGGAAAAAACAAAGCGAAAATCTTTCCTCATTATAAATAATGAGCTTGTCAGTCCAGAGGATGAGTACCACTGCCCCACTGTTCTGCTGTCCAAGCAGCCCACTGAGATCATAAATTCAGCCCCAATAAAAAAATTAGAGGGACAAAGTTTAATGAAAGAATTACACTTTATTTATAAAGAGGGTCAGGGAGAAAATAGCTACCCAGAATCAGGGTAGGGGACTCCAGAAAGATGGAGAACCCATGGGCCTGTTTTCAGCTGCTTTTGTAGGAGGTTGGAGACTGATTTAGTTACTTTTCTCATTGCTGAGACTAAGTATCTGACACCCAAAGTTAAAGGAGAAAAGGTTTATTTTGTTCCTTTTGTAGAGGTTTCACTCCAGAGTTGGCTGGCTCCCAGGCCAGGTGGCATGGCTGTGGGGCATCACAGAGGAGAAGCAGTCTATGGCAGGGAGGCAGTGAAGCAGCAAGCTACAAGTGACAAGCAGCAACTTTCTGTTCCTTATCTCTTATCCAGGTTACTCACCCTTCAGGCAGGTAGCACTCATACCCAGGGTGGGATAGCCTTAATCCTAGCATCCTATAATGAATCATTTCCAACATCACATCCTTGATCCCAGCACCACGTAGGCTAGATCCAGCTACCTTGGAAATCCCCACCTATGATCACGTGAGGCTTTGGAGGAACATCTAGGTACAAGCCATAACATTCTGCCCCTGACCTCCTAAAGACTCATGTATATCCCTTTATACAAAAAGCATTTGCTCCATCTCTAAATATTAAAAAAGTCCTAACAGTTTGAGCGTTGCTGAAAAAGTCCAAGCCCAAAGTTTCCTTGAGATTTAAGAAAAACACTTAGCTGCAAGCCCCTGGACAAATGAAAAGAAAGCTAAATATTTCCAGCATTCAATAGTTCCCATTCCAAACATTTCCATTTCAAAAGGTAAAAGAGGAGAAAAGGAAGGAATATGACCAATGTAAGACCAAAGTCCAGGAGGGCAAACATTAAACCCCATAATGCCATGTCTAGCATCCCCTGCAATCTGTAGCAAGGTTTCAACTCCAAAGGTCATAGGTGGCTCCCTCCCTACAGCAGTTGGGATGAGGGTAGCTCCCTTTTCTTCTCTCTTGGGTCGATTCTACTTCCTCCTTGCAGCTTTCCTCAGATGATCCATGATCTTCGTTTCTTGGGGTTTTCACTGTACCTCTGGCACTATACTCA